CCCCCCCCTCCAGCTTGCATCTGTTCTGATTGATCCTAACTCTGCCGGCCACATCGTCGAGCCACCGATTCAAGCGGCATCACCGTTGCCACAGGACGATGCTGGACTNACGTGTCCGTGCTGCTGTCGTTGAAGGCCAAACCACCAACCGTGCCACGGTGGAATTCCTTGATGCCATCTTCCTACAGGTAGAAACCATCTGCGCAAGGAACCGGCAGGACCCTCGACGTACGCCTTCTTCATCCAGGAATTGGCGGCCGCCTGGCACACTCAAGGTAAGAGCTCGGGGATTGATCGTCTTTGCAGTTTTGGCGTTTCCAACGGCGAGGGTTACGGAGAATACATTCGTCGCTATAAGGCTCTGGCCATGACCGTCATTATTTCCCACCACGCCTTCAAGCCTTCGGATGCGCAAGTGCAGATAGCTGTTCGAGACTCCATGTTGAAGCAGTTTCCGGTAGTGTCTGGGCAGGCGTACACGGATGAGCAGCTCTCCATGGAAGCCCCTTTTGGGCGACATGCTTCGTGTCTGGATGATATGTGGGACGTGTTGGACAAGCGTGCGTTCGCGCACACGCCGGCGGTGCATGGAAATGGTTTCTTTTCGGTATCTTCCACGAATGCTAGGAGTTCGTCTGCTGTTTCGCGTGCTGTAGCTTCTTCGGCGTTGCGTTCGACGGTGACCCCTTCTTGGAGCCAAGGTACTTCGGCCGCCGTGATGAGTGTTGACCCTCTACCTAATGATGATCGGGACCCTTTTCTGTTGCACTACAGCGACTGGCCGTTGCAAGGACACTTCCAAGAGGTGTACAACGTCGCTAGTGAGATGGCTCTAACCAAGAATGATCCGCCATTGTTCACCCCCTTGGTCTCGGCTGAAGAGCGCCGCAACGCGCTTCGACTGTACAAGGGCAAGTACCTCAACTGCTTAGGAGAAGACCACTCCTTTAAATCCTGTAATCGTGGTTTCATGAACGCCACCGGCTTGCTTAACAATGACATCAAGTTATGTATGGAAAAAGATCCCACCCTTTGGGGTCGGTGGAAAAAGCGCATGACCTCGTATAGACGCCCTACAGGACGCAACCCACATCGAAATCACCCCTTAGGACGCGCCCGCCGCTCATCTGACACATTGGACACGAAACAGTCCTCACACACAGAGCACTCGTCGGACGCTTCCACTTCGACAAAAAGGGGCTGGAGGGGTAAGAAATGACAAGCCGATGGCGGAGTTCAGCCGGTACTACCGTCAACAGCAACCACCGTGCACCCTTTTGGAGCCTCCCAAGATGTTCGTGTACATTCTACTTCTTTGGATACTCCCCACGCCCCAAAATCACATCTAGTTTCTCGGCCCGCCTCCTCGTCGTCCGCCTCATCGCCTGCTGGTAATGGACATGACAGACCCATTTCGGCAGGACCTTTGTGGTGTGGGCGACAGGGAGGTAAGACGTCGAGCGGTCCATCCCTGCTCACCTCGTCGTCTCGGGTTACAGAAGGAACAAGAACCTCGTCTCCTACTATTCTTCAAGACTGTCCTGGTGTTGTCAGCCGGGCCTCTTCTCGGATCGCACACGAGCCTTCTTCTACACTCGTCGGGAACCCCGTCGATCCTCCTTCTCTTTCGCAGCTTTCGTTGTCTTCGACCGTCCGCTGCCCCCGTGTGACAGCACCTGATACGAATGCGTCTTCCTCTGCTGCCCACCACGTGCTGACTGCACCACCTCCATCGGGATCGGATGGTAGTGCCCACCATTCTGTTGAAGGTTCGGCTCCTTTGTCAAGGGGGAGTAGTCAAGAGCGCCCTGCGTCAATGATCAAACATCCGTCTGTTGCAGGAATGACTTCTCCTAACGAACGGGTCTCTAATAGCCGAATGGCCTCTGCGAACATTCACCCCGCCGGAGCCGCCGCCCTAAGGCCGCCCTCAGGATCACGGAGCGTTGCGAGTTCGCCCGCTCCTGCCTCGCTTTCTGGGTCCTCCCCGTCGGAGAAGAGGACCCGTCCGCCTGGTCCACCCCCGCCTGTGCCTGGTGCCCGCTCTTTGCCCCTTCGCCCTGCACCGGCTCCGCCGTTTGATGACAAGTGCGAGTACGCTTCGGATGACGTCCTTCTTTTCTGGAAACCTCCGTCTGTGTTCTCGCAATGGACTCCTGCGGCTTTTGACGTACTGGGGGTACGTTATTCATGTGGTGAGCAATTTATGATGTCTGAAAAAGCGAAGTTGTTTGGAGATATGACGTCGTATGACAATATTATGGCTGCAACAGATCCGAAGACACACAAGTTTTTGGGTCGAAATGTGCGTCCTTTCGACTATGCTGAATGGGAGCATCGTCGTGAAGAGATCGTGCTTACGGGGTCGTACGCCAAATTCGCTCAAAACCATGACATGAAACATCATCTACTGGAGACGGGTACCCGCCTCCTTGCAGAAGCCAGCCCCTTCGATCGTGTTTGGGGTATCGGCATGTCTGCATCCAAGTGGGCGGCTAGCGGTAAAAACTTGTTGGGAAAAGCTTTGATGGAAGTTCGACGCCTTTTGCGTGATCATCCCCTGTCTGGCGAAGATTTCTCCGCTTCCAATTCTCCCACGCCCCCCATTTCGCAGCCTCCCCTCCATGGACATGGACGCATTCATCAGGTTGCTACTGCTACAGGTTCATCGCTTCGGAAGGACCCGGGCGAAGACCCGACTTGTCTACGTTTGGACGCTCCGGGGGACCATGCTCCTGGCGTTCATCTGGTGGCATCGTCCTCCGCTTGTGCAGACCAGCCTCCTCTTCTCGATCATGGCCCCGATCTGGTCGGCGGCACGCTCCTGTTGGACTCGGACTCATACACCACGCGGGGTCCTGCTGCATGGCGGACCTACAGCCACTTCTCAACTCGCACGAGTGGCGCTTCTGGACTCTGGGTCTCCTGCATCCTTCGTTTCCGACTCCGTGGTCACCGCCATGATAGCTGCCGGAGCCCTGACAGCTGGCAGCGTTCGTGTTTCGCCCTCTCGTCAATGGGGTGGGTTTGGTGATGGACCCGCCCTTGTCACCACCCGGTCGATTCGTCTCACCGTTGATTTTCTCCATGGAGATAGAGCTACCGCTTCTCTGAGGCACAGCGCTCCAGCTTCATGCGCTTGTGGGCTAGGCTACCCGCATATATGCACGACATCGCTTTCGATCTACACAATCCGGGATGGACACACGAGGCTATTGATCGTTTGGCCGACGCCCTTGTGGAGTATTCTGACGTGTTCACTACTTCGAAAACCGATTTTGGTTCCTGCACCATCATGCCGTTCACGCTTTCTGCCCCAGCAGGGACGAAACCGTTGCATCACGCCCGTATCGTATCAACCCTTTGATGCAAAAGAAAGTGGATGCCGTTTTGGACCAGTATTTGGCGGCAGGGCTCATTCAACATTCCACATCTCCGTGGGCTTCTCCTTTAGTTCTCATCCCCAAGAAGGACGGATCTGTTCGCATCACCGTCGACTACAAACGTCTCAACGCGCTGGTGGATTAGGATGGACAACCTCTCCCTCGAGTGGACGGTATCTTGGATTCTCTGTACACCGGGAAAGTGTTCTCCATCTTCGACCTCAACTCGGCTTTCCACCAGATCGTTTGTGATGAAGGCACTGTCCCGCTCACCGCCTTTTGCACTCCCACGCAGTTGTTCGAATGGCTTCGGATGCCGCAGGGCGCCAACGCAAGTCCGTCTTGGTTCGTCAAGGTCATCAACAGAGTGGTGCACGGTCTGGAGCGTGTGCTTGCTTATCTGGACGATGTTATCTGTTTGGATGAGGAAACTCTGGGACACGTGCTGAACTTGATCGAGTTCTTCAAACGACTGCGACAGTACAACCTCAAACTGTCCCCAGGGAAGGCTCGCGTCGGCGCCACGCCGCCAACTTTCTCGGTCACACCATCTCTCCGGCAGGTGTTAGCCCTGATGGCGTCAAGGTTAGGGCGCTCACGCACATACCGCCGCCGACGAATGTTAAGCAGCTTCGGAGTCTTCTCGGTGGACTCATTTCCTACCGGAAATTCCTCAAGAACCTCGCCACCAAGGTGCGGCCTCTCAACTCTCTTCTCAAACAAGGCGTCCCCTTAAAGTACACCCCGGGCATGGTCAAGGTTGTCAAAACGTTGTTAAGCGAACTCGCTCGCCCCCCGATTTTGGTCTTCCCGGACTGGGCAGCAATCGAGGACAACAGCCGTCCTCTTCGTTTGTGTTCCGACGCGTGTATCGACGGTTTTGGCGCCTCCTTGGAACAAGAACAGCTCGATGGCTCGGTGAGACCAATCGTGTACATCAGCCGCGCTACTCTTCCTGCGGAGCGTAACTGGACCGTTTTGGATCTGGAGGCTGGTGGCATTGTTTGGGCCATCAAACGCCTTCGCGGTTATCTGTGGTCGACCAAGTTCATCATCTATTCGGACCACAAAGCCTTGGAGAGCATTGGCAAGGTTGGGGAACACAACGCTAGGGTGCAACGATGGCTCGGATTCCTGTCCAACTTCACCTACACCCTGAAATATCGGAAAGTTTCGGCAAACGGCAACGCGGATTTTCTTTCGCGGTTGCCTTTACCAGCACAAGACACGGACAAAACCGGCCCCGACTGCATTGATGGTGTCGATCAAGCGGGTGTTTTCCTCATTTGGGCTTGCGGGCGCAACTATCACTCGTCGTCTACACCGGAGGTCGGTTTGGGTGGGCTCCGCCCTCCTTGCACGGCAGGAGTCTTTTCGCCCCCAGCGTTGCAGCCCTCCGATTTTGGGGATTTTCGCCGACATCACCCGCGTCGGGTGGATGCTCTGACGGACTCAACGATTGCCTGCGAAAATTCTCAGCGGTCCCCGGGGGTCTTCATCGTCTCGCCTGTTCTCGCATCTTCAGGGCCTGCTTCCTCATTGACTTCGGATGCGTCCCGCGTGATGTCTCCTGTCGCGTCTTTGGCGACTAGATATGTGCACGTTTTGTCTTCGCTTCCGGAGCAGGGACCGCTCATTTCTTCACGGACTCGGGCTAAAACTACCGCTGTTTCCGGAGGCACCGTCACCGGTCCCGCTTTATTGACTTCGGATGCGTCCCGCGTGATGTCTCCTGTCGCGTCTTTGGCGACTAGATATGTGCATGTTTTGCCTTCGCTTCCGGAGCAGGGACCGCTCATTTCTTCACGGACTCGGGCCAAAACTACCGCAGTTTCCGGAGGCACCGTCACCGGTCCCGCTTATTTCGGACGCCAGCCGCGGGCTACCATCGTCCCTCGGACATCGTCGCCTGCCCGTCGCTCTAGCAGGTCCCGCTCGACAAACAAGACCACCCGGACCGCCGCGCGTCTGCTGCCGCCATCCGCAACGCCGGCATCAGCGTTTTCGTCGACTGCTCTTGCGCCACCGGTGTCTTCGCCGTTAGCGGCGCGCCCTGCATCCCCGACTTCGCCTTCTCTACAGGTTTCGCCCGGGACTTCGCCACTCACGATGTCCCCTTCGCGGACATCACCACGGACTGCGGCTGCCCCAGTCGCTGAGGNGGTCGCTCTAGCAGGTCCCGCTCGACAACAAGACCACCCGGGCCGCCGCACGTCTGCTGCCGCCATCCGCAACGCCAGCATCGGCGTTTTCGTCGACTGCTCTTGCGCCACTGGTGTCTTCGCCGTCAGCGGCGCGCCCTGCATCCCCGACTTCGCCTTCTCTACGGGGTTCGCCCGGGACTTCGCCACTCACGATGTCCCCTTCGCGGACATCACCACGGACTGCGGCTGCCCCAGTCGCTGAGGCTTCGCCTTCTTCCGCCTCTTCCGTTGGATCGCCTGATTTTTTTTCGGAATCTTCTGATTTGGACACCTCCCACTTGCGGGCTTGTGTTCAGAGTTTCGGCGCTGTGGACTAGGCTAGGGAACAGCAGCGGGAGAGCGAGCGTGTGCTGGCGATGCGTTTTTTGTCTCGCGGTTCTCCCTCCCTACCCCCTCCGGGCTTGCTCACTCTCTGTGCTCCTCTTCGCTCCCCTCGGTTAGATGATGTGCTTGTGTTGGCGGCGAAAACCAGACTGCACACGACCGATGACAACATCACCCTCCTCGTACATAAATCGGCGACGTCGCCGGTTGGGCGCTCTGGCGGCGGGACCACTCGTCTGCCGGATAATGGCGTGCCCCCTGTCTACGTGCCAATGCTGATGCGTCCGTGGGTCCTTCATGCATGCCATACCGCCGCGTCATTCCATCTCGGCGTCCATCGTACACAGCGACTGCTCGAGCGCTTCTACTGGTGGATTGGTTTGGATCGTTCCGTGCGCTGGTGGCTTCGGGCGTGTTTGGTGTGTCAAGCTCGCAAGACTTCACGTCAGACTGCTCGGTGGCCCGTCATCGCTATGCCATTGCCGCAGGGGTCTGGTACGGTCGTCGGCGTCGACTTCTTCGGACCTCTGCCAGTGACTGCCAAGGTCAACTCGTCAACTCCCACATTTTGTTGTTCACAGACCGTTTCAGTCGGAGAGCCGACATGTTCGCAGTTACAGCGGCGGAA